ATGTATATAGGCACTCCAGGTATAGGGAGGCTGAATCACCTGGGTGATTTGAAGTTTTGCCAGAAAACCTCTGCATGAGACGTGAAGCATGAGCAGATGCACTGTCATGATGAAGCTGCCACTCACCAGTTGCCCATAACTGTGTCCTTCTGAATTATCCAAATAGTTTGCATGGAAGAATGTTCAAGTTTAATGCAAAATTTGATGCAGATTTGTTGCTCTACTTGCTCAGTTCTGAATGTAACAGCCACAGTACCCATGCTCACCCAACTGCATCTACCGCTCCCACTGACTAGTGCAGTGAAGTCATCATTGTTCACACATACGCATTCCAGTCCACTGTCCTTGGCTGCCAGGATCCACCAATGTCACGCAAACCATTTACGTTATGGCTGAACTTTTTCTGGACAGGCCTCATTGTATATCAGCCCTAGAAGCACGGCCACCACTTTCTTTAGTCTAGTCACTTCTGTACAATTTATTGACATTTGCTAAAATTGTTTGGAAGCTCCTAACTGCTTCTTTGGGTTTTAACTTCTTTTTGTGAAGTTCCATGAGAAATGAATCTTTTCTCCTGTTAATCTATCTTTTTTTCCAGTTTAATTCACAGGCCCCTGCTACAGAACCAAAGAAGATAGAGGAAAAGTTTTTCCTCTCCTACACCAATTACCTTGATGGTCCCTGTGTGCCATAGCAGTGGTGTGCCTGTACCTTGACAGCTGGACCAGATCAATTTTTAGTAACTCTCCTCCTCTATATGACCAAATTGTTTTCTCAAAAATGTTACTTATTTATTTTTAGACAGAAGGGAAGGCAGGGAGAGAGAGAAAAAAAAACACATCAATGTGTGGTTGCCTCTTACGTGTTCCCTACTGGGGACCTGGTCCGCAACCCAGGCATTTACCCTGACTGGGAATTGAACCAACGATCCATTGGTTTGCAGGCTGGCACTCAATCGACTGAGCCACACCATCCAGGTATGACCAAATTATTTTCAGTGATATCATGAAATGAAACAAAAAGAAATGCGGATGGTGAGAATTTTTATTTACTGAACCTTTGTCTATTTAATTACACCAGGAAACAAAATGAAAAAAATAAATAATACAGTGCAAAAAGAAAAAAATGAACAACTATTTCTTCAACATTTTTTATATCAAACAATTTCACTGTAGATTCCTTGGTTACAGTCTGATATAATATTTTATTCAAATAATTATCCAGTGACAGGGCTCAAAACATACTACCCCAAAATAGGTACCTGGACATATCGAATATTTTTTAAGCTGAAGGAATTTGAGAAACAGCAGGTGCAGGGAGAACCTCCTGGCTTCTCCCAAAGCAGGTCCTAGACTCTCCTGTGAGAGCTGCCTTATCTACGTCCCAGGAAAAGACCATCCTTATCTCCCAGGTGCCCAGAGGAATTTGAATAAACAAGCCTTGCTGTTTCCCCCCATTTACTATACTTAGCTCAAACCCTTTTTTTGTCCAATCACATTTTTTCACAATTTTCTACTCACCATCAAACCTAACATAAAATCACTCAGGTTTAGTGGTTTCCTCAGATCCTCATTTCCTTGTGAAGGCTCCTGTGTCCTGTAAAATGTATATTAAATAAATTTATATGCTTTTCTTTGGTTATTCTGTTTTTTGTTACAGGGTCCCCACTTAGATGGATAGGGGAAAAAGATCTTCTTTCTCTTCTATATCAGCAATTAATAACTGAATTTTAATAAAACTGATATGTCTGCAGAAGATACGATTTAGGCAACTATTAAATCACATCATTGCTGTGATGCTTTTACTTCTTGAATCAGTCTTTCATTCTAAAACAATTTTTAAATGAATTTTAATTAAAAAAATATTACCCAGATTTCATTTTTAACAGTTTGTGAACTAAACTTGCATGCGCCATACAGAAGGTGGCATGCCTTGTAGCTCGCCCTTGGTCTCACCGTGTAACATCTTAAGTTTAAAACTAGCAACTCCAGTTGGTGACATGGAATAAAGAAGTTGAAATGCCTTAAGGTCTGTTTCCTCATCTTCACCATGGTTGTGCCGTTCCTGTGTATTCCAGATCTCTTGTTTAGATGCAGGGAAACTCGAATTCAACCAACGGTTAGAGCCATTCCCAATTAAATCTGAAGAAAAGGGTCCGTGGGTGGTGCCAGGGTGACTCTACCAGTGGGCAGTTATTTCAGTGGCCTTCCATGTAAAATACTTGGTCTATTAAAGAATAGGTAATACATATGAAAATCAGAAATGAACTTTTATGTAACACACATGTGTCTATTAAAAAATAAATTTTAAAAGAACTCATGGACACAGACAACAGTGTGATTATAGTGGGGGAGGGGGTGGGTGGAGGTGAAAGAGGGTACAGGTGGATATACAGTAATAGAAAAAGTGTAACAGAGTGCAGCCAGGGGACCCCCCAAAAAGGAATTTGTAATGGGGTCCAGAACTCAGAGTGTCCAGGAAGTATTAAAAATATAAGATGTCCTCACCCCCACAAGTCTGACCTGGGGGACAGGACACATGGAGCAGGGCCATTGAGAGTTGTTCTGCATAGCAACAGTTTTGCAAATAACCCCAGGAATGGTCATTTAACATATCTGTAACTTTTAACTGGTTCAATGGATATGCTAAATAGCTGTGGCTATGCTTTGAGCCAGGGAGATGGGAGTGATTTCCACTCAGGATGTAACTGGGAGGCAACTCCCCCTGTTGACAGTGCCTGCATGAGAGCTTGCAGATGATTCGCTCCATGCAATGGGGCCACACCTCCCTGGACTTACTATGGCAGCCCAGAGAAGCTGGAAAAATATGGGAAGGCTGGCAGGTGCAGCTGATTATGAGAGGAGTCGAAAATGAGACTACAGAGGAAGATTGGCACTGGGATTTAAACCCTGACACGGCAGCCACACAAGGAAGAACCAATTGGCTTTGGAGAGAGAGGGACTCAGGGGCTTTGGTACTCCCTTTGCTATACAGGTTAGGAAGCTGGAAAGTAAGATGTAGCAGTGATGCAGGGCTCTCTCTTAGCAGTTTGGAAGAATGCAGGTGAGATGTCGCAAAAAAGAAAGGGGTGAAAGGACTCTTGCTGGTGGGCCATGAGAAGGTGCCACGTGGTTTTGGATTAAGAACTGGAGATCATGGAGGCAACACGGTTGATGGTGCTGGGAACTGAGGGAAGTCTGCCAGCTGAGCACAGATAACTGGGAAGAACCAGGGGCTACCTGAGCCATGGACTTCTATTTCTTTCCCTGAAATAGGGTAACCTGGACTGGGCAAAAGGGGGAAGGAAGGACGTGTGTGTTTGTGGGTATTTTAAGGGACTTCGGGACTTTAATGAAGACATTAAGTCATTACTCTTAAGTCTGTATAACTTTTGAATAAATAATTCCTTTCCTTTTCACTGATCTCTGGCATTGAGAGCCATAAATACCTGGTGGAGGGCAAGGCAAACCAAGTACAGGGAGACCCCAGGAAAGGGGGTGTGCATTTGGTAATAGTATTTTGTACCCCCACCCCTGGGTCCATACTGTGACAAAAGTATAATAAATTTTTAAAATAATAAATAAATATTATATACATAATCATATAGAATTGACATACATAAGACTTAGCAATATCTTTAGAATTTAAGCCAACAAAAGATTTTTTAAAAGTTTTATTTATTAAAAAATAGACAAAATTTTAATTTATTGATTGACAGAGAGGGGGAGAGAGAGAAAAACACTGACCTGCTGTTCCACTTACTTATTCATTCATTGGTTGATTCTTGTATGTGACCTGACCAGGGATTGACCCTGCAACCATGGTGTATAGGGACAATGCTCTAACCAACACTGCTACCTGGTCTTGACTAAGCCAGCAAAAGACTTTTTTGAGGGAAGGAGTGTTTCCTCACTGACCTTGTTTAGAATTGCTGACACATAAAAGCAGAAGAGCTGTACTTGGTTTTATTCCTGTTTTTAAATCCCCTACCGAGAGTGCACTCCCTCATTGCCTGCACTGGGCAGGTCGAGACCCATTGCACCTGCATTGGCACACCGTGATTCCATAGCTCAGGTGGTTACATAGGCTATGTCAATTTAATCATATTGTATAACGCATTCAGGGTTTACTAGGAGATTCGTATTTTTTATTTTCTTAAAGATTTTATTTATTTATTTTTATTTTTCTTTCTTTCTTTCTTTATTTTTAGAGAGAGGGAAAGAAACATTGCATGTGTCCTGACCGGAAATCAAACCGGCAACTTTTTGGTCCACAGGCCAGCATTCAATCCACTGAGTCACACCAACCAGGACTGAGATTCATATTTTTTAAAAAAACAAATCTCAGATACTTTATGCAATCAAAATGTTGTCCGATGACAGCTTTCTGTGTTCTCAATGTTCCTAAATTGGAGAAACTCAACAGGGAAAGAATGTAAAAGGGATACAAGGAGGTAGGGGAGAAAGGTGTGGAACTGGAAGGTCACGTAGGCAGGTGGTAGTGCGCACTCAGCCTCCTCCAGCTGTGTCCTCGAGGGACAGGGACACAGGCCCGTTGTTACCAGATCTGGCAGGTTTTCTCTCAGGAGGATCTGATAAGGAGGTGGCTGTGTAAGCTCTCCTGATTTGTAAATGACAGAAATTAATTTAAACTCCAGAAAACACTGTGCTGCGCCAACAGAACACACCAGCAGTTGCGGCATATGCCCCAGGCTACCACTTCTTATGAAAAACGCAGGTCGTGCTTCATTCTCTGAAACGTTTTCCGTCTCAAAACTGTGACATTTTAGAAAAATCCAGAAACACTTACATCATAACCATAATCTGCACTCTAACAAGAAAAGTAACATAATTAGAGTAAGTAGTTGGGAGTGGCCTGGAATCCCAAAGCAATCCTTTCCCTTGAGCCAGGGCCAACGATGGTGTCACCCAGATGCCTGTTGACTAAGTGACACACACCAGATTTATTTAACCACCGGCAAACCACATTTCTTTTCCTAGAGCAGTCAGTTAAACGATTATTGACCTCCCTTGGTTACCAAAAAGAGGAAATACTTTCTCCAAGACTCAGAGTAGCTGCAACCAGATCTTTCAGAGAAATTATTAGCCACAAAGATTCAGAAGACAGAACTCGAAGCTTCTGCCCACATCCCACCCTGCGGCGGCCCCCACAAGCACCTTGCCAGAGGTGAGTGTTTGCTTTGCGTTCTAAAAGCTTCCGGCCCTGAGAATCTGAGGTTTAGTTAAGAAAACCAGTCTAAATCCTGTGTGGACCTCATTTGATTTGGCATTTGGCATATTAAAAGGGAAGGTTTATTCAAATTAGAGATAACAATAGAAGCTGTTCCCCACATTTCCGCAGGTAATTAGAGCTTTGTGTATCTTAATTAAAAAGAAGTAGAGCTAAATCCTCTAACAGATTTACTCAGCATCCTTAAGGCTCAGTTCCTGCAGGGACCATTCAGAATTAAATGCAAGAATGTGGAAAAGGCTTTGTCCTCAGTGGCTTTTAAGAATTCACTAGGTTAAGAGGCATGAATGCTGCCCAGTGTGGCCAGGTTGGCACGGCTTCTCCATGTGACCTCCCAGAGACACTGAGTCTGCAACTGTGAGTCCCGTTTCAGGGCCTAGGAAAAGCTTTTCATGGTTCTAGTCGCACTGTTCAATCCAGTCAAGGCCCCAATAGTCTAATCTTCAATCCTGCCTACCCTGAAGAGGCAGGAGGCAATCACCTCCCTGTATGAGAAGAGGGAAAAAATGGAAAAGCAGTTAAGTCTTTCCATTTTTCACAAGACGGTTTCTTTTACTTAAAATTTGTCCATCTGTATACTATCTGTTTCCCAGTGCTATGTTCTGGGCTGATTTTTTTCTTGTTGTACAAACAGCAACAACTAAAAGAGAAATGATCATTACCAAAAATAAATCTTGTCAACATAAGAAACGTCCAAACCTGGGAGCAAAATCTGAACAGATTGAGAAAATCCTCCAGATAATTGCAGTTTTGCAGCTTATTTGATTTCATTAGAATAAAGGAAGAAGACCTAAGGAGGATTCCATGAAATCCACTGGTGGAAGATTAAGGGGGCGGAGAAAGCATGGGGGGCATTCCTGGAACTGGATAAAAACTAAAACAAGAAGATACATACTTTTTTTACATTGGCATAGGATAGTTAATAAGTAACATTTACAGCATAAATATTTACATTTACAGTAAATAATTAACATTAACATTGAATAGAGATGCTATTCAGGGAACCAGATAACTGTTAGAGGGTCTGTGTGAGTTCAGGATCAGGTGAGGTAGGTGTGCCCTGAAGGGTCTGGAAAGGGATTTTACTTGAACATTTCCAAAGCTAGGTATTTTACATGCAAAAGGACAATAGACAGGCTAGACCTCTATCCAAGGTTGCAGCCTCACCCCATCCTTAACGGTCCACCATTTCAGCAAGACAACTGGTGACATTAAGACTCTAGGACTGGAGCCTGAATCACCCCAACCTTATTGCTGACTTTCTGCAGTTGTAGTAACAGCACACGTGACAGATAAGTCAGAGGCAGGAGAGCACAAAGCTGACTCTGATTCCAAAGGTGAGGGAGAGGAGAGCAAACCAAAGAAGAAAAGAGTCAGAAAGGCTGCAAGGCTTTGCCTGGGGTGTGGAGCTGGAATGGGTTACTAATGCTCCAGCTCCAGCGGAGAACTCACGGTCCCGGTGAAATGGGAAAGCTCTGATGAGGCTGACGGGCCTGGGCCTTGCCCAGGAAGCCAAAGCAAGTGCCCTCGGGTCCTCATAACCTTTTAAGGAAAGGCTGACATGGCATCCCTACCCCTCGGAGGACGATGACAAAAAAAAGATGATAAGAATTAACTCTCCTGGGTACCAGCCCCCATCACATCTGACTGTGGGGTTCAAATGGGGAGGGGAAGGGGTGCTGCTTGTTTAATACCATAGAGGTGGCTTGAGAAGATGTCCTTTGAAGAGCCAGTGTCATTTCTGTGCCTACAGCAGTCCCAGGGCTTTGATGCCATCCCATAGTGTGTAGTTTGCACACCCATTGCAGTGGAGGGCATGGGGGATAAGAGTTTCAAGGGAAAGCATTGTGAGCTTTGCTGAGAAAAGCAAAGGGCTTTCTACAAAGGATGAAACTTGCAGAACAGGTGAGAAAGAGATGGGTAGAATTGTTGTTAAAATTTGGGGCCTGATTGGGGAAATGGTGAAACATTGGAAAGAACCAACAGCTAAGAAGGGGGGGCGGGAAGGGGCTTCCTAGGAATGTATTTCCCTGGCCCAATGAGAACACATTATCCAACCAAGAGCTTGGTCACTAATGCATCCTTTGGATTGATTCATGACCAAAAAGAGAAGTGTGGATGAAAGGGGGCCACATGCCCTGGCCTGCGTGGCTCAGTTGGTTGGAGTGTCACCCTGTAAACCAAAAAGTTGCCAGTTTGATCCCCACTCAGGGAACATACCTAGATTGTGGCTTTGATGGCTGCTCGAGGAACATATTGGAGGCAACCAATACATGTTTCTCTCTCACATCAATGTTTCTTTCTCTCTCTCTCTCTTCATCTTTCTCTCTAAAAGTGGTGAAATCTTTTTTAGAAATCTTTTTTTCTAAAAGTGGAAAAAAATATCTTCAGATGACAGTTAAAAAAAATCAAAAAAAGAAAAAAAGGGGGCCACATGTTAGGGTAGTCAGTGATGTGCACTGTGAAAGAATTCACAAAGAGAAGTTGTAAAGCAAAGTTCTTTATTTTTACTGTCCCGAGAGAAGGAAAGGGCTAGGTGTGGGGAAATGGGCCAGCACCAGCCCTGACCAGCCCTGAGGGGCAGCGGCTGCGAGTTTTCATCCTGTGAGGGGGTGGTGGTAGAGCAGGATGCTTCCGCTAGGCTGCAGCTTGTCTCGATGTTAACTTTGGGCGCAAGATCCGGTAGTTGTGGTCCGGTATGCCCTGCTTCATAAGTTCCTGGAGTCTCTGTGCCTTCAGGGCGCTTCTGGTAGTTTTCTAGTTCTGAGGATAAAGGCTCATAAAACAATCAGGGTCAGTCATGCTGCATGGGGTCCAGCCAGCTCTGGGAAAGGGGGCCTGAGAAAGGGGCTTTGGTCCTATTACCACATACAAAACCTGAGAAACTCAGGGGAGGCTAGAACAGTGGGCCCTGCAAACTCAGAGACTAAAAATAACCACCCCCATAGGAGGGCCTGAATGTAATTCTTAACTAAAAGCGGGCCATGGTGGGCAGTCCTGTCCTAGGCCTGTAGCTTCCTTGACAAAGGTCAATCTTGATCTTAAGTGAGGCTGTTTGTTGTCTTTTGGCATACAAAATAACATCACCTTTGAAATCTCAGAGTTATCTCCTTTTCCAAACCCTTCAGGGCACAGCCAACTCACCAGAGCTCTGGATCACACAGAAACCCTTATTGTTAACTTGTTCTCTGCATACCATCTCTATGTGCTATATACATAGCATTTAGGGTCAGTGCCAGGGGCTGAATCCCAGCTCTCAATTTACAGTAGTCTCTCTTAAAGGATCTCCAAAGACCTGACTCACCAGCTTAACGAAGGCACCACCCAACAGCTTGGCTGAAGTACACTGCATCCCTTGCATCCCCAGTGCGCAGGTAAGTTACCTCTAGCACTTCTGAGCACTTCAGCTTCAACTACTTTTGAATAATGGGATCAGCTGTAAGATCTACATATACCGGTGTGTGTATATCGTAGGGGAGTCCTGAAATGCACAGCCAAGAGGTTTTATGCACTCTTCCTAATTTGGGAGGGGGGCAATTTCAGAGCTAAGTAATCCTATGTTTCAACTCTATTATTTTAGGAGGTAGGTAAAACATAAAAATGTATAGTTTCTTGGGTTTCAGTGTGTACTGTGCTTAAACTATACTTCGCACATGGTAAATTCTTGCTCGGTGTCATTTCTCGCCTTTTTCTATCCTTTGCCTCTCAATGTTTTTCCTGTTCTATTACCAAAAATAAACTGAAAACCATGTAAAAAAAGGCAGTCTGGTCCCCAGGAGCACACCCATGCCTTTCTCCCCTCTCAGGTGCGCATCTCCTAAACGCTAAGGGTCTCCATGAGACTTGCAACCAGGGGAGCAATGGGTAGTGGCAGCTCACCCTGGGCTAACCCCCTGAACCTGTCTCCAAGGCCCCTTTTTCTTGACTTCTCAGTGAGCATGTTACAAGGCAACAAGGGGGGACCTGGAACGATATATTGTTACCCGAAAGGAAGCCCCAGGTTCGTTATGTCCACCGCCTATAGGAAAGATGTCTCTCAATGACAGAGATTCATGAAAAGGAAAGGAAATGTTTATTTAATGCTATACAAACTTAAAGTAGTGACCTAATGTCTTCATCAAAATCCCAAAGTCCCTTAAAACACCCACTAACACACACAGTCCTTCCTTCCCCCCTTTGCCCAGTCTGGGGTACCGTATCTCAGGAAAGGAAATAGAAGTCCATGGCTCAGGCAGCCCCCGATTCTTCCCAGTAATTTGTGTCAGCTGGGGGGCCTCCCGGCACCATCAGCTGTGTTGCTCTCCGATTAATCCAAAGCCATGCGGCACCTTCTCATGGCTTACTGGTAAGAGTTCTTTCACCCTTCTTCCAGGCAAAGTCTCTCCTGCTTCCCAGGCCGTGCGGCCGAAAGGAGCTCCCCAAAGCCACGTGGCCCTCTTCTACCTAGAGGGGTCTGCAGGGGTCTGCACTCTGGCAAAACCGCGTGGATCTCTCCACAAAGCTGCAGGGAGGGGGGTCACCACCCTGCCAAAGCCGAGTGGCAATTTTCTGCTAAATCCAAGTGGTGATTCTCTCTCCCAAGGCTGCGGGAGTCTCCAGTCTGCTAACACCGTGTGGTTCTCCCTTCAATGGCTGCCGTGTCTGGGTTTAAATCCCCACGCCAATCTTCCTCTGCAGCCCCATTGCCGACTCCTCCCACACTCGGCCACACTTGCCCTCAATCTCCTATCCTTTCCAGCTTTTCTGGCTGCCATCGTGAGCCTGGGCAGGTGTGGCCCCATGTCTTGGAGTCAGTCTTCTCCAAGCTCCCACGCAGGCGCTGCACTGACTCGGGGGATCTGCCCCCCAGTTACTTCCATTCCCCTGGCTCAGAGCAGGGCCACAGCTATTTAACATATCTAAGTGACCAGCCAAAGGCTATAGGTATGTTAAATGACCACACCAGAGGTTAGCTGCAAGGCTGTTGCTATGCAAAACAGCTCTCAATGGCCCTGCTCCATTTGTCCCTTCCCCCAACCCACACCTGGGGGGGTGGTTGTGGTAAGGGCATCCTAAAAGCTCCTGGACACCTTGAGTTCTGGACCCCATTTCAAATGCCCATTTGGGGTCCCCCCTCTTGGCTGCACCCTGTAACAAGCAGTCCCCTCGTTGCTTTCCTGCCACTTCTTCTATCCTAAGGCCTTGTCTCACTGTCCCCACCCAGCCTTATGTACTTTCGAAAAAACAAAACAAAACCCAAACATGTCAATTAAGACTCAAAATTGTTCTTGAAGTGTCTTTTGTGGATAAAATTGTGCTTTTGTGTGGTTACAGAAAATAACATAAAACTATTAATAAATAGTAACATTGCGGATGCGAAGCTGTGGGAGCTGGTGACTAGACAGGAGTCCCCAGCAGAGAGCTCCATGACTCGCTCCCTCCTTCAATGAGCGTGTCTCTGCTGGGACCCTACTGAGAGAAATAGGCCAAGACTATGAATAGTGGTTACTTATGTGGACTGAGGGGACTGGGGGCAAATGGGAGAGTGTACATCCTTACAGGGCAAAAGGTATTTGTAGTTTGAAAAAGCGTACCTACCCCATCCCCTGAGGTTATTCCAATTTGCTCCCACCCTACCCTTACTCACTACAGAGAGGATGCCCCTTTAAATTTTTTAGACTTGATCTTGGAGGGGAGGAAAAAGAATTTTCTTTCTGCCTTTCATTGTCCTGGGCTAAGACCCCATGTAAAAAGACACTAACAGGAGGGGTGGGGGGGAAGCAATTTTAATTATGTACATTCAAGAGCCTTAAATGGTGGCCAAAAGACGGAGGATTATAGAGGATCCTCGGCAAAGGAAGGGGATAGGGGCCTGGGATTTCAAGATTGGAAGGCAATTCAAGAAGAGGAAATGTCTGGAAAACAAAGGTTGCCCTGATGGCCAGATGAGCCCCTCAGGTGAAAGCAGGATCTCCAGTAGTAGCCCTCCTCACTAGATGCGGGCCTCCTTTCTCATGTAAATTCCTTTTATAGATGTAGATTTCCCTTACAAAAGGGCAACTTCTACTCTGTTGCAGAGCTGCTTCTGTGTCTGCAGCTTTCAAAAAAAAATAATCAGCTCAAAATAATCCTTATGCCGAAGAGGCATATTTTGAGGAGGCACACAGTGCTCCCCAGCAGTCTTTCACAGCGGTCAGATCCAAAATCGTGTGCTCCTCCAACAGTGTTCAATTAGACGGCCTGACAAGGTTTCAGGACCTAATAACGTTCGATTTCCAATATCACACAGTCGAGCTGATGTTAGACCTTCCCAGAATAATCAAGTTAGCCCTGCAGAGGGAAGCTAAACACATCAAGGCTTGCTTTCCTTCAGCCTCCACAACTCTCGCTCTGTGAATTTCTGAATTATGAGTCCTGCTTCAGATACACAGATGGGTCCCTATCTGCCAGGCCCACAGGTGAGATAAGAGATAAAAATCCAAACTTTAATTTCCTCAGAGTCTGGAAAGTTGCCTCTCAAAACCTGCCTCAGTAAAGAAATAAAACTAAAATGCATCCTCTAATAATGTGATTCCAAGTCTTCGCTCTCAGAAATGTACTAAAACCCAGTGCATTTGAAGAGCTCTCCTTTGACATTTCTAAGGTTCTTTTCATTCCATGGTTGGAATGAAATTTAACTTGACTGTTTCATAAGCAAAAGCCCACCCAAACAAAGGAGGAATGGGTGCCTCCCCCATCACTGCTTTTCAGCCTGCGGCACTGCAGCCAATAGCCATGATTTCCATTCAAAAAAACAAATCTCAGCTACACACAGACAAACATGCTGAGCAAAAGAAATAATGTGTGCAGTATGCTCGTTGCTTACTTTCTCCTAGAATACATGATGCATTTTTATGGAGAGTGGTGTAGCAAGGGAAGAACCACATTCAAATGAAACCCAACATCATTTTCCTCTACAGTGTCATTTCAAAAGCCAGATAAAAGCCAAATGAGGAAACAGGGAAAAAGAGTGCACAGCGTAGCTTTGTGAAAACCACCCTCCATTTCATACTGCAGCGGGGAGGTCACACCCAGGCATCCCAATAGCTTCTCTCCTCACAGAAAATTAACTGGTAAGTGCTTCTTGTTTGTTTTTCTCGAACTGATACATTTGCAGCTGATCCGAGGAGGATTTCTGCAGACAATTTATTTCCCAATTATATTTTGTCTAACCACCAGCTGGCCAAAAAGAAAAAGGACTCCTAGTAGTTTATGAAAAGTAGTCTATGTGAAGCTTCATATTTTTGGTCCTGTCAAAAGTGCCGAGGGAAGATCATCACAGGCTTTGCTGCAGCTGCTGGCTAAATCGAAAACACTGGAAGAGAACATAAGGGCACAAAGAACTTTCTGTAATTTCCTCGCTTTTACCTAGAAAAATGATGGCTCATAAATGTGGATTTTAAGCAGCAGTGACTCAGAAATAATCAAGTATCATTTGTGCAAAGCCCACTGTAGAGAAATCTAATAGGAGAAAATGGTACTCAGAGATGAAAATTGATTTTGCCCTCCTTAGATTACAAAGTAAGAAAAAAGTTCTAAATTGAGTTGTAATGTAGTTTGGTTGCTTTTCCCACCTCTTCTCTTTTTTAAAGATGAATAGCTTGTGGTTCTTCAAAACAAACATTTCTTTGTGGTTGCTCTTTGAAATCTCCTAATCAATTGCCTGTTGGAAGAGTTGGTACCTGGGCCCACCTAATGAAGCACAAATGGCTAAAGGCAGGGAAGAAGCTGGGAGGAAAGGTTCAGCTAACTCGATTGTTCCAATGGTAGTCAGATAACTGCGAGCAACAATTGCTTTTCATCTAATAGTTTAGCGTTTCCTCCCAATGAAAGCTAATGAAAACCAAATGAAGGTTTGATAACGGGACTTTCATCAGCAATTACTCTCTGAAATTGGCCCTTTGCACTTAAAGCAAACTCATTCACCCAAGCTTTCACAAACCTGTTGCTAAATTAATCCGCTATTATATTTTTGTCTGTTTTGTGAAACAAAAGTCCAAGGGACCTTTCTCTGGGTTTCAAATTACCTAGTTCAAGTAATTCCTCTTCCTGAATACTTCTCATCATGTCTGCCCATCTTCCAGACACAAGATGGCTTTTGTTTTGTTCTGTTTTTCATGACCTTTATGTATGATTTTACTTGTTTAGTTTATAAACAAACGTAAGACATTTCCTATGTTGCTTGACCACTGGGTGTCATCTCCCTGAGATGGATATTTAACGTAACGTTCCCTTTCCAAAGGCCATGGCTTTGGAGGTGGCTTGTGGAAGTAATAAATTGAAAGGATCAGAAACAATCTAAGTATCCAACAGCAGGAGGCTAGTTAAGGAACTTATTATTTGTCATCTCAATGAAGTGGTTTGCAGTCATTAGGAAATCATAATTTAGAGGGTTGTGTAGCATCGCAGATGGGTGTTTCTAATGTTAATAATGATTATAATAACCTAAAAAGTAAATACAGTTGAAAACAGTGTAGGAAATATGCACAATACGCACAATTGGAAACAGTTGTGTTGGGCTGCTGATGTGCTGACGGTGACTTGATGGTGTGTCGGGAAGGAAAAGGCAGGAAAAATTTTCCTCTACCCTCTTAGTGCAGTCCCTGAGGTCCTGTGAATTAAATTGACAAAAGACAAATTAGTGAGAAAAACACACAGATTGAGTCACATTTTTATTAAAGTACATAGAGGAGTTCACAGAAAAATGTGACTCAAAGGGAGTTAGAATTTGGGGCGTATAAACCATCCAAGCAGCAGAAAAGAAGGTAGAAAAGGGCACTTCAAGGAATACAAATGACTTATTAAGAAGAAAAGAGGAGGGGGAGAAAGGGCATTTATGGGAAAACTAATGACTTTTTAATAAGAGGAGAATAGCCCTGACCAGCGTGGCTCAGTTGGTTGGGCTTCATCCCACAAAGCAAAAGGTCACCAGTTCAATTCCCGGTCAGGGTACATGCCTGGGTTGCAGGTTCAGACCCCAGTCAGGGGTGCAAACAAAAGGCAACCAGTTGATGTTTCTCTCTCACATTAATGTTTCTCTCCCTCACCTTCACCCTTGCTTCCTTCCTCTCTCTAAAATAAACAAACAAACAAATAAAATCTTTAACAAAATATCAGGGGAAAATAGATAGGCAACTTTTTGTGCCATGTCTGTTTAGGTGTGGCATAAGAGCCAGTCTTCCCAGGTTGCTCCCCAGGATGATCTTTATGACAATTGACTCTCTCTGGGACCCCAAATGCCTTCTGCTAAAAATACTTTTTATGCCACAGTGGCATGTGCTAGATACCTATGGGTGATACATCCTTTCTTCCCCCCACCCCACCAACCTTCTCTAATAGTCCATTACTTTTATAATTCAGAAACGTTATAATGTTGAAAATTCCTATCATTTTTCTGCAGGTCATAGAAAGTTAAACCTTTTAGTCTGGTGTGGACTCCAGTTTTAATTCATCTGGTTTATTTGGGGATGCTAACTTTAGTAAAGGGTTCTGCCTCAAAAAAACAAAACAAAGCAAAAACTTCCTAGAGAACCTAGTAAAAACCAAGACACCAATAAAAACGGATAGTGTAAAAATTTAAAAGATAGGAAAGAAAGTGACTAGTTAAATGAAGATTACTAACATAGAATTCTTTTAAATTGGACAATTTCCAAATATGCTTCAAATCTATGGTTGTGCAATATCTTTAGGCTTGTTTTCATTATTTCTGTTTCCTTGGAGCTCTAATTAATTCTAACTCTGCCTCTAATGTTTTCATGGCTCGAAGCAGAACAAATTCTCAGGATCTCAGTTTCTTTTCCTCGAAAACTGAGATTTTCAATCTTTTTCAACTCAGGGCACCCATAAATGAATCACAAAAATTCTGCAGCACACCCTGACCGGTGTGGCTCAGTTGGTTGGGTGTCACCCCGCAAAGCATCGCGGGTTGGATTCCTGGTTCAGTCCCTGGTTGGGGTGCATATGAGAAACAACCGACTGGATGTTTCTCTCCCTCTCTTTCTCCCTGTCTTTCACTCTCTCTCTCTCTAAAAAAAAGTAAAATCTCAAAAAAAATAAAATTCTTCTATAACATATAACAAATATGTTATATTTTTTGCTGATCTGACAAAAAAAATAGGTATAATTTTGATTCATTCACAGCAGGCAGCTACTGTAGTGTTGGCTGTTGCCATGTTTTTGTTTGACAGTCTGAGGGAAAAGAGGCTGGTGCCCCTGACTAAACAGTCAGGTATTGCACGGTTTAACATTCCTGCGGCACACCGGTGGGCTGTGGCATGCCAGTTGAAAATTGCTGCTATAAAAGAAATCTGACAAGTTAGATTTCTCCCAGCTTTTCACTCCCCACCTTTTTAATCACTGCTTATTAAGTCATTGCTTGGTGTGATACATGTAATGGGTATTTAGCATATACAGTGGATACCAAATAAATATTTAGTGAAACACATCTTTTATTCTGACTATATTTTCATATTTTTCAATTATTATTCCATTGATACTCAAATAAGATGGTAAAAAATCTCTTCATTGTTAAAGAAAATGGTGTCAGTAGGAACAAACTACACATGACTCAGGCAGAACATTTTGCTGGAAATTCTGTAGTCTTCCTTTCAGCCATATCAGTCAATGATTAATTGGAGGGTAGAGGCCAGGGGTTAAATGGAACCTGAGGAGGTGGTGGGAGAGCCAACCACCCAACCTCGGTCACATTGGCCCCTTGCTCAGCAAACACAACCAACTGGCCCATGTGAACCTAAGTGTGTGAAATGCTGCATACAGCAGTTTTCTGCAGGATAAATGCACACAAAACTGGGTTTGTGATAAAGGAGTTCCTGAAGTTAAACAAATAAAGCATATGAGAGCTTTTGAATGGTTGACATTTTGTTTTGTTCTATCTTCTAAATCTCAGTTTTCACCTCCATGTTTAAGCAAAGGAAGAGGGAAGTTGGAAAATGTGGTTCCTGGTTTGGAATTCTGCTCTTTTCCATTTTTGGAGGGAAGGGAGGTTGTTTCTCATTAACTAAGAGAAGCCACCTTTATGTGCAACATTCAATCAAGCAAATATTGACTGAACCCTCAGCTACTGGGGTGGAAGAAGACATAAGGATTTTAATGGGAGATTCTTGCCCTAAGTAAGCTTAGTATTGTGCTGTCTGGGAGACACAATTAAGCTATTAAACTAAAAAGTGTTAAAAGTGTCCAGGACCCACAGAATATGGAGTTCAGAAAAGGGAAGGATGGATGCGGACAGTAGTTTGCAAGGGAACAGTCCATGGAAGAAGCAAGAGAGAGCAGTGGGTATCCATGTTGCATCGTGAGTCAAGTGAGATGGAAAGATCTGGACTTGACTGAACAATGGATGGGGTGCACCCACCAGAATTCTTTCTTGGCCTGAGGAGCCTCTTGGGAGAACTTACTAGGAGGGAGGAGCCCAGAACAGACGTTGACCTCTGAGAAGAGAGAGGATATGAGAACAGCCTGCTAGTGAAAGCTCAAATCATTGTTTCCATTAAAACATCACAGCACAAACAGCCCTATTTTGGGTCTCATATAACAAAGAAAATCTTAACACAGGAGAATCCTCTAGCCCACAGTGCTCCCTCTGTCCCAAAGTTCTCCCTAACTTTGACAAGGCAAGTAGCCCTGTGCTCTGGCAGTACCCCGGACAAAGTGTTGGTGCCAAGGGGAGCAAACTTGTATATAAACATGTAATTCACCTCCTGGAGGCTCCAGAAATACTTTTTAGTGAATTTTCTTAAGTGTGATATATTTATTGGGAAAACACAGGGGTGTACCACATCAACTAGTGGGGACACCCCATTGAACCCTGAATTGAAAGCTTCAAATACTCCCCCATTTGTGTCCACTGTTGACTGGGGACATTTCAAGTTGCAACAGAAATATATTTGTCTAGCACTTCACCTTTTTCACTATGATGCTTCTGAAAACACGGTCGCTTCCTCTCCTCTAGGGAATCCATGTGTAACACGGTCCTGCAGTGAAGGTTCTTACTTGAGTCCTGAAAACCTGTAGTACCAGTGCTGCTGATCTACCTGCAGTATTTCAGAATTTAACC